AAAAACCAGACGATGAAGGAGCCGATGCGTCGAATACCACTCGTAACTTAGTTGTACTGCTGTCTGCCTTATAAACACCATGATGAGGCATTATGTATTTAGGAGTTTCCGTCACACTCTGCATTTTTTGCATATGCCCTAACGCTTCATATTCACTCATGAACTCACAATACATCCTAGACATGTCAGGGGTTTTGTCTAGTCTCTTCCACAAATTATTTAACCGTTGGGTGGCTAATTGCGAAGAATCACCCAAATGAACATCTTGCCTTAATGGTAGCGTCACTACATATCTACCCTCAATATCCCTCTGATGGGTTTTTCTAAAATGCTCCTCACATTCTACTTCTTCTTTTTTTTTTATTTTGAGAGATTCTGTAACAGCCTCAATTTCCCAAAAGGACTTGATTAGTGAATTTAAGTCTTCTTCGACTTTCATAAATCCGCACTGAATCGTATTGCCTGAATTTGAACCAACATTTACACCGGTAGCAATGTATCCAAATACGGAATTTTGAAGAGTTAAATTAGAATTTCGTGGATGAATTTGATCAGCCTTCAATAGTTCATAAAAGCATTCTGCACCTAACAAGGCATCTATTTTCTGGGGCTTGTTAAAATGAGGATCCGCTAGTTTGATCTTTTGCGGAAGCTGTGAAAATGAAAATTTAAAATAATTCACTGGTACCAAATCATTAATTTTAGGTACAACAAAGAATTCAAGAGCACGGTGGTAATCACGCTTGTTTGATATCACAGCAGTAAGCTTGGATTTTACCGATAGAGCTTTTCCATTTAAACATGAAATTGATATGTTAATTTTACTCCCTTTTATTCCAAGCCTATTAGCGAAATCATAGGTGAAACACGAACACTGACTTCCGCAGTCAAGTAAAGCTCGACAAGCAATAAAATTCCCGCAAGAATCTTTAACATAAATAATAGCAGTAGATAGTAATACCTCCTTCGAAATCACTTGTGAAGCAGTTACAGACGAACCAATAAATTCCGAATTGTTTATTTGGTTGCAATTAGATAACATTTCAAAACATCTGGCGTCAGGGTTTAGATTCGAGTTGTCTACTAAAGGAGGGTCAGAATTATTAGCCGGTGCTTCCTCCTTCCCCACACAACTCGCTATAGTAGCAGGTGAATGCGAAATGTCTTGATTGGGAAAATGCAGTAAACTATGGTGTTTTTTCATGCATTTTGAACAGCTGAATTCTGAACGACAGTTCTTTGCAGTATGAGTCGGATTAAAACCCAAGCAATTAAAGCATAATTTATGTTTCTTAACAAATTCAAGACGTTCACTTACAGTCATTTTCAAGAAAGAATTACATTTATACAACTTGTGAAAATTGATACTTTTACAACAAATACATTTAAAATCTTGACCTTTAACATTTGACACTAAGGCAGTCACCTTTTGAATAGGTTGACCCTTTTTTTTGCATTAAACACATTAGATGACTTTGACAACTGCAAAGTTCTAGCATGATTTTTTAGAAATGTAATAAGCTCAGATAATTTAGGTAACTCACTTGTTTTTGAATCTCTTTCCCACCAAAGATGAGTGGAAACATTCAATTTTTGCAGCAAAATTTATGCAAGAAATGTTTCTGCGAATCCCTCTATTTTTTTGGTCTAATATTTCCAGAGACCTTACACTTTCATTCACTGTGTCTACTAATTTCAAAATAGAAGACGGGCTTTCATTTTGTATGGGAGAAATTGACATGAAACGCTTTATCTGAGCGAAAACCTGATCACGTTTATTGGAGTATCTCTCTTCTAAAAAATCCCAAGCAATTTTATAGTTATTGTCACAAATTGTGACTGATTGAATAATCCTAGCTGCTTCGCCATGAAGCGATAACTTCAAATACGAGAGCTTTTGGGAATCCGATAATACATTATTATTATGAATGCTTGAAATGAAAAGATCCCGAAAGCTTAACCAATCTTGAATATTTCCACTAAAAGACGGCAAGTTTAATTTAGGTAATTTCATACCTTGTGCACTGGTATTTTCAATCTTTACATTACTTGCATCTTTAGCACTAAATTTTGACATTTGTCGTTTAACCTTAACCCACAAAGTATCAATACTGTCTTGAACAGTTTGTTGTTCAGTTACATATTTGTCAAACTCTTTTTCATCAACTATTACAAATAATTTATCAAAAATATCTGAACATTCATTATTAAATTTTGCACATTTATTTTCAAAAAGTTGTAACTGAAATTCATCACAAGTATATTTTTCGAAATCTGATGTCGCTTTCGTTATATTTGACTTTAAAATTCTTTTCTTAATTAAAAATGCTTCCATAATTAACGTTAATTAATAATACCGAACATATGAGCAAATTCACTTACCTCCGTTTGAGGTAATCCAAATGAACCCGAAATTTGTAAATCCAAACACACACTAATTTTTATGTCGAATGCGAAGTAACATATCACACTTTTTTATCAATTTAACACTTCACCTTTAAGCTTTTTAACCAGCACTTTATCCATAGGCACTAATCTTCCTACCGGGTTGCACAGACCACAATATATGTTCGAGAATAAACATATAAGTACTCATGAAACACAAACACTAAGCTTTAATGGACTGTAGCTTTATTTCTTTTAACTTCTGTTTGGATGGATTCTCTTGCCATCGCATAGGTGCACCTCTCAGAACGCAATCAAGCACACTAATCATGGCCGCTAGCTAACCACGTTGTCGTTTTCTCTCATCGTGGTTTCCAGATCACTTCTGCCTTAACACTAATCAAAGTCAACATTGCTTAAATTTTATTTGATCATTCGATAATATCTTAAATGAGAAAAACAGCTAAACATGAATCTAACATGAATGTCTCAAGACTTGCAGTCGGTTGAGCAAAAAGCATCATTCCTTCTGAAGATATGAGTAATCTGTTGAAAAATACGGTGCCACTCCATGCGAGGGATACTCTCACTGTGCAGAAATTCTTTATCAGTGTTGGCTCAATGCAAACCGGCGTTTTTATCCAAAAATCGGAAATCCAGAACGATTGCTGGTCCGTATATTATTGCAATGGAGAGTACGATTTCATCCCGATATTGCGCAGTAACCACGAAACTATATTGCTAGAGTCTAGAACGGAATCGACGTGTGACCGCCACAACTATTTTATCGATTGTTGCAGCGTCATCTAACGCTGTATCTGACAGTACTGAGCACGGAAGACTTCACGCTGAAACAACTAAACTGCCAAGTTTTTGTGTTTAACCACGCGCCCGATTTAGAAAAATAAGCTCAAAGTGGTGCCATCAACATCCAAACTGAACTGCCTCATTCTGTTAAAGGATGAGTCCCGATCTGCCCCGAAATTAGATCATAAAATGCTGTCTCTGCACAGAATGGCGTATAGTGAACCTAGAAGTAATCGAAAATCAGACATATCATTATCTCCGCCGGAATTCCAGTGGGATATTTCGAGCGGCTGCACATCTTTGAGAACGGTTTCGTGGTAACTGCGCAGTATTCGGGATGAAATTGCACTCTCTATCTTAATACTATACGGAGTAGCAGTCCTTCTGGATTTCGATTTAAGGATGAAAATGCCGGTCTACGTTGAGCCAACACTGATAACAAATTTCTGCGCAGTGAGAGTGTCCCTCGCAAGCTAGCGGCGACGCTACTGCCCAGTATTCCACTACTGCTAGCCAGCCATAAAAAATTAACAACAATTAGTATCTGTCATTTCCACTGTGTAAGCATATTTATGTATTTATGCCAAGTTGTACGACAGTGTAAAGGAATATATAGATAGATATTGCTTTACAAAAGATTATGGTTTAAATTCATTTTTATTTAAATTGTTCAGTTATGTAAATAATTACTGGCTTCGTTTCAGAAATATAACGGAACAATTCAAAATATAATCTGTATTTGGTAGCCAACGCATTCAGTACTGAGGCAATGCGCATAAATTGCATACGAATGAGACTTTTAATTTTTTATTGTCTTTGCGTGCAATCCAGTTTCATTTGTATAAAAGCAGTCACAACAACTTGTAATCAGCAAATTATTTTTCTAATGCAATAGTGAAAAGAGTATATTAGTATAATTGTCCATTAATTATTTGATATAAAAGTCACATAGCGCTTAATCGCGTCCTGAAATGTGTCTAGCACAGCCTTTGTAAGTTGTCGTAATATTATTTATAATGTCAACATAGAATGTGCAAATATTTATAAATGTCCGACTATGATAATAAACGACTTAAATATGTACATATATATAGGCACATTAAATGAGTCTTGTTTGCAAAAGAATTTTTTTTAAATTTGAATTTCGATAAATGCGGTCTGAGCTGCTGTCTCGACCTGAGGGAGTGATTCTCTTTTATAGTGGCTGACATCTGCCAGAAGGAAATTACAATCTATAATAATAAAAGCAAGTGTAAGTCTGTCTGTCTGTCTGTCTGACCGAGCTCTCCAGCCAAATCTATGGCACGCAGGGACCTGGAATTTTTTATACGGAAGCACAAAGGGGCTGGCCACCAGACCTCGAAGCCCGATTTTCGATTTTTGAATTAGAAAAATTTAAAAAAAATTATTTATAATTAATTAATCACGGTTTTTTTTGACTCACTGATATTATTATTGTTTTCAAATAACGTTCGATTGTAACAATTGATTTCTTTATTCTAGCGTTAGTTTGCTGTTTTGACGATACATTAAATCGATTAATTACAATTCATTTCTTTTTGTAGCTTTAGTTTGCTGTTTTCATGACACATTAATTTCTTTTTTTTTTCAGAATTGCACTTTAAAACTTTTGTTTCTTAATTAATATTATCATGGTTTTTTGACTCACTGATCGTGTTGCTATTATTTATTTTCAAATAACGTTCGATTATAACAATTGATTTCTTTATTGTAGCGTTTTCTTCAGTTTTTGTAATCATTCTTCTGTTGGTTGCTTAACTTTTGCTTTTCAGATTTTAGAAGAAAATATGCCGCAGCCACCTCGAAAAAGAAATGTTTGGAAAATAAAAATCGACAAGAGAGCGATAAACCCTCGCCAGTTCTTGAAAGAGACGCAGACGGGACAAGACGGATATCCACTGTATCGTCGTAGAAGCCCTGCAGATGGAGGTTTTACAGCAAGCATCAATCTACGAGGATCAGAAGTTTCGGTGGACAATGCCTGGATTGTTCCTTACTGTCCACTACTATCCAAATTTTTTAACGCACATATCAACGTTGAGTACTGCAATTCTGTCAAGTCCATAAAGTATGTATGCAAGTATGTCAATAAAGGATCCGACATGGCTGTATTTGATGTCACCAGTGGAGCCAATGAACTGAATGAAATTCATCAATATGAGATGGGAAGATACATTAGCAGCAATGAAGCAGTGTGGAGAATACTCAACTTTCCAATCCACGAACGTCATCCCACAGTCGTTCATCTAAGCGTCCACCTTGAAAATGGCCAGAGAGTGACTTCACTGAAGAAAATGCTGCTGAACGGGTCCAGGCACCCCAGGAAACAACGCTCACATCTTTTCTTCAAGCTGTGCACCCAAGATAACTTTGCTCGCAATTTACTTTACAACCAAATTCCAAAGTACTACACATGGAACAGCAGGAACAAGAGTTGGAACCGCCGTAAAACAAGGACAAATTGTTCCAGAAGAAACAGGAATCCGGTCTACTGATGCTCTTGGCCGTGTCTACACCGTCCATCCCAACAACTCCGAATGCTTCCACCTTCGCCTATTACAAATACATGAAGTTAGAGGGCCCAACATCATTCACGGATTTGAGAACCGTTCAAGGAAGAGTCTGCAACACTTTCAAAGAGGCCTGCCAACTTCAAGGACTTCTGGAGAATGACGAACACTGGAACACGGCGTTTAGAAGAAGCAGCTGCATCTCGATCACCCAAGATGATGCGTAATCTGTTTGCTGTAATGCTTCAAACGTGCTCCATGTCGGGCCCTGAACAGTTATGGATGAACCACAGGGAGAGAACCTGTCTGAAGACATACTGCATCAAGCAAGGATCCAGCAGCAGAATATGGACCTGGACTACAATGACGACATCTTTAACAGAGCCCTAATCTACATTGAGAACAAGATAATATCTCTAGGAGGATTGAACCTGAAAAAGCTTTGGACTTCCCCAACCTAACAGAAACAGCGATTCTGCCATTTCCAGTGAAGTAATTAGAGAACGAAGTTATAACATGGATGTGCTCGCAGCTTATATACAGGAGAATGAGCCTAAATTGGTCCAAGATCAAAAAGAAGCCTTTGACAAGATTACTAGAGCAGTTTTTGATAGGCAAAGGGGTATATATCTTTTTGGATGCTCCAGGCGGAACCGGGAAGACGTTTCTTATCAACCTTATTTGGCAAAGGTGCGGCACAGAAATGAGATTGCCCTGGCTGTCGCTTCATCCGGCATTGCTGCTACACTCTTGACAGGTGGTAGGACTGCTCACTCGGCGTTCAAGTTACCCTTAAATCTGACAAGCACAGAGACTCCAACGTGTAACATCCCAAGGAATTCAGGAAAGGCAAAGGTTCTACAGGATTGCAAGCTCATCGTTTGGGACGAGTGTACCATGTCCCACAAAGCCGCATTCGACGAAGCATTAGATGTCACCATGAAAGACCTCAGACGGAACAATGACAGAATGGGAGGCGTCGTAATGGTTTTGGCAGGCGATTTTCGACAGACGCTACCAATTATTCCGCGTGGAACGAGGGCAGATGAAATGCAGGCCTGCATAAAATCTTCTTACATCTGGAATGGCATTCAAACACTTGGATTATCGACTAACATGCGAGTTCATCTCAACGGTGATCCCTCTGCCCAGCAGTTTGCAGATAATCTACTGAAACTAGGAAATGGAGCCCTTACTTCAGAAAATGAAGAAGGATATGTAGCGATGCAAGGCATTGGAAGGATTGTGACTACTGAAGAAGAACTGAAAGAGGCTGTGTTTCCGAATGTGATTCACCACTTCACTGATCACGCATGGCTGTGCGAAAGAGCAATTCTTGTCCCAACAAACGAAGCCGTCAGTGTTATCAACAAGGAACTTTTACAGAACTTACCCGGAACTCTTCATATTTACAAATCTATAGACACGACATGCAATATTGACGAGGCTGTCAACTATACGACAGAGTTTCTCAACAAATTAGAGCCACCTGGAGTACCCTATCACATATTGGACTTGAAGGTTGGAGCACCGATAATTCTCCTCAGGAATCTGGATCCGCCTGCACTTTGCAATGGAACAAGACTTTCTATCAAGAAACTGATGCCAAATATTATAGAAGCCACCATCATGACCGGACATGCTGCAGGCGAAGATGTGTTTATTTCAAGAATTCCTATAATCCCTTCCGATCTCCAGTTTCAGTTTAAGCGTAAGCGTCTACAATTCCCTGTTCGTTTGAGTTTCGCGATGAGCATTAATAAGGCACAAGGACAATCTCTCAAAGTTGTAGGGCTCGACCTCCGTAAGCCGTGTTTCTCCCATGGTCAACTGTACGTGGGTTGTTCAAGAGTTGGTAATGCCGATAATCTACACATCTTAGCTCCGAATGGAAGAACATTAAATATAGTTTTATCCCGAGGCTCTCTAACGAAAAGGACAATCTAACGAAAAATTATTGCCACTCTCCACTCTCCCAAACTAACTCTGACTATCATGCTTTAAATAGTGATGTTATTGTTTAGTGCTCTCTTGAGAGCATGAGCAATAATCCGAATGGTGCTGCCGTACCAACAGACATTAATCGGTCAGGGGGCCCTTGCGACCCCAGCCCGAGCTCCACAAACATACACAAACACTCTCTCTTCTAATTCATTGTCATCTAAATTTAACTTACACTTAAATTAAAAATTTAATTGGTTCTTAACTCCAAATTTCCTGTAAGCAGGATGTTTTATTTCATCCATGTTTTCGTTACTTTTTATTTTTTTCTGTACTGTACTCTCTATCTTTCCCTTTCAACTCTTTCCTATCTTTGATTTTGAATTTTTTATGTTTACTTTTCTTTATACTTCAGACCAATGATTATAACCACATGACTACGGTTTCCTAGCATGTGCTAATATGAGGTCTGTTCTCATTTAAACTAATTTTTTAACAGATGGCTCATGGTTAGGATATATTGTTCCTTTTTATCGACGGGGAATGTTGTGTGTGGGGGGGGGGGAAGAGAGAGAGACAGTCTACATGTCCTACACTACTATTCCTGCGCTATTCACTTATCTGCATTTTCTAAATGCACGGGCAACGCCGGGCGGGTACAGCTAGTGTTAGATATTTCTTAGAAATTTCAGGTTAAGGATCTCCCATGGTGGCGTTCGCATCGCTAACCAGAATACCGGTTGGATGTCCATAACGAAGTTACAGAATGTTGCCAAAACGTCTCACGAGAATATGCCTTTTTGTGTTCTTCAAAGCAATTACTAATGACAAATATTCATTTCTGATTTTATTCGAAAAATTGATGGATTGGTACACTGAGGGATTCATGGAGAAAACCCTCACAGGGTTATAATCTGCCGAATGTGTGATAAGAGTTTATTTCATTAACATAAAATGATAAAACAAATCATACGATAAAGTGATGTGAATTCTGTAATATATCCGCGAACAAATGAATAAAATTCATAACATGGATGGGAAAGTAAAAACATGTAAAACCTCAATACACAAGAAAACATAGGTTTATTAAGAATTATTTTATGTTAATTAAACGGATAGAATTAACGGAGTTTATGCAACATCCACAAACAAATAAAATTTCCGTTCATAAAATGCATTTCTTAATATAATTAATGAAAGACATTAAAATTCATTCAGAATAGATTATATAGCTTCCTCAGTTTTACGTAATAAAATAAATTTGAATTGACCTCTTTTCTGGCTAAACAGTCAAGAGGCGGGCTACAGCTTTTCGGTCGAAGTTTGTCGAAAGCCAGGCACTGAATTAAAATGTAACATAGAGAGAAATCTGCTTTACAGTAGAGCAAACAGGCTACCTCTCCTGTTTTAAAGCCCATCAGCGGCCGAGCGGAACATTGTAGTCTACATGGGAGATTTCATGGCTTTCCCCATATGGTAACATATATACGAGATAGTTTTCTTAGAAAGTTCTCCGCAAAGACATCCCTCCCAACAGGCAGATATCTTTTGATTGTCTTGCCAACACTAAGTAAGCCAAGCCTTACCTTTTAAAAGGTTAGTTGTGCGCAAAACCAGAGTGGTCGTCCTCTCTTCGATTTCTGGTAGCCTCTAGATAAACTATCGTTAACCATTTCTCAATTTATTATAAAGCTGACCGTACCGGGTTTGTTACCAGGATATGAAGGATATGATTTGTTTAGGATTTTGCGATTGATAGCTGTTATAATATCCTTAAAACTTATCTGGATAACTCATTCGCAGACCTTGCAGTGCTATCCGCTACTTCGTTTCCATTTATTTCTGCGTGTCTAAGAACCTACCAGAATTCGGATCACCACATGAAGAATGCCACGACTCCGCAAATGTAACTTCGTAAAAGACATCAAGAGCATACTATCTACGCATTAAAGTCTTTTCAAATTAGGCATCTTATCGTTAACGGTTACCTTCTGATTCCTAAATCATCCCTTGACAAGAGTCCTATTACTTACTCGCGTACACACACGGACAGACACACACACACACAGATATATATAATGACAAATAAAATGATTACATGTCATTCTTTAATATAGCTCATTTAGCTACTCTGTCTTTTTACCTTTGAAATTTCCAGTAAAATATCCAGCAGAAGTTCTCAATTCCATTAACTCTTTAATGTCTCTAATATCGTATTTTAACTTTCTAACAGCACTCTTTCCTCCTATTTCCTACACAAAGATTTTCTCTGGAAAACAATTCTGGATGTTCATTACAAATTTTGATGTAGCAGATTGAAGACAAGTTTTTGTAACATACCTTCTGCTCTTCTGCAGAATGACTTCGCTTCGCTATCTAAAATGTTGTTAATGTCAGTCGTTTGAGTAATTCAAGTTTGCTTATATCGATTCTGTGAAATCCAAAATGTCGATCAGGTAACAATTTTCAACTGTCTTACTCGAGAGAAATATCTTTCTTTAGCTTGGCGAATCAAATGGAATCGAACCAGAATATTCCGCGAATATCGCACAAAGCTTGACGTGTCCGGATCAGTGTCAAATAATTCCATAAAGGCGCATAACACATATACTGTCACTAACTTACGACTCAAAAGGATTAACAATGCGTGAAAGCAAAGGCAAGCATGAGATCCATAAAAATGATTCTATATAACAAATTAAAAAGAAGGGCTGGAGTATGTGTCAAGCAAGCAAGTCTATAAACGTACATAAAATATGATGGCAGTAGTTCAAAATAGGAAGATTACTGTTTTATATAAATAAGAAAGGCTTAAAGATAGAATAAAAATGCGTTACAGATACAATGAAATACAAAACAAACGCAATTACAAAAATGGATCAATGGCAATTACAAAGATCATAGTGCTCCTCTACTATTTTATAATTGAAGAGATTAAATGAATTTAAGTATTCACAGCCAAGTACCTTGTAAAATTTTCTGTTTTCTCTTATTGAGATATGTTTCAATAGTATCAAGTGTGAGGTCTTCATGGATAGTTTGATTTATTACGTAATAATCAGCATTAGTAATAATGCGCGAAAAACGATTTTTAATGTTTTCTTGTAACTTAAGGAAATCATATTTTGTAATAGAGGTCAATGCAGGTGAAGCATATGCTAAAATAGGTCTAATTATAGAGCAGCAGACAAGATGTCCATTCCTAAGGTTCATATTAGGATATTTTCCTATAAGGGAAAGTACACTACTATTAATTAACCTTGTTTGATTTATTTTTAATGTATAACGAATATGATTCTCGTGAACACCATTGTGAGTTTAAGAGAAAATAACGAGCTGTTTGTTAAAAATTAGTTTAGATGAAAGATCTTTTAATATATAGCATTTTAATACTATTTAGCACAGTGTAATTGGTTAGTTTTACAATACGCAACATCGAAAAAATGATCGTTACAAGGAAATTCGTTCATCCATCTTTTCGAACAACAATCTCTCTCTCGTTGAGTCTAATAATAATTGAGATTTCATTGCAGTGATTGCAATTTTCGAAGAAGTGCATCATCTCTCAATGTATTTAATCTTGCAACTTTTTAATCTCATGGATAACATCAATTGATATTGCAGCAGGCGCCGTATCGTCAGCGTAATATCCAAGGAAGTATTGTTGATTCAGATTACTCTTAGGAAAACCAGCAGCCAAGGACACATAAAGAACAGAGTCAAGACACTATTCTTCGGGGACAGAGCCGGTGTCCACCGGCTAAATGGATAACTGCCACAAAGTCCTGCGGCATACCTGCGGTTTAGCGGGATGAGGTTCGGTCTGATGATGAATAATCTTATGACGACCCAACGGACCGCTCCTTCCTGGGAAAACCGGCAGTTGTGGGGAGGATCCGAAATTCCGAGGACCTTTGATATGGAGAGGAGGATGAAGCAGGCATGTAGAGGATACAGGAGAAAAACTTTGTTATGCTTCTCAGACCGCCAGATAATACAGGAGCCCGAGGCAGCCTAACGAACATGTCCTGGCTCCTCTATCAGCTGGCGCATAATCTCGCCTGCCTTGTAGTTCCACCTGGTGCCTGGGGAGGTTCTGCATGGCAGAGCGGAGGGGGGGGGCTCTTGCGAGGTCACTGTTGGCTGCTGAATCCAGGGCTAGCGCCTCCAAACTGGCTCTTAGAAAATCGGAAGGAATTTTTCCCCCCTTTCTTCAATCAAATACCAAAATGGATGTTAAGAATACAGAATCAAATAAAAATCAGATAGATTCTCTGAAATCCCCACTTTAACCACAGTAGCTCCTTCTGAGGGAATGAATGCGCCCTTGGATGCGGACGCTCTTCTCTTTAGGACTACAGAAACCTGAACCTCTGGTGAAGGAACCGTGACTTTGGACACGGACGCCTTGAACCCGGTTGGGATGAATACTGACTCCTCTGTCAGAAGTGCTGTGGCAGATGCGCAAGCGGATGACCAGTCACCAATGACGGAGGTTGTAAATAAAAGAAGAGAAAAGAGACAACGCCAGAAGGAGCGGAAATGGCTGGAGAGAGCCATAGAAGGGATCTCGATCACCGGGAAAAAGGGAGCGAGGGAGAAAACAGATAAAGCTGGGACATTTGGAGCGACCTCAAAACTGGTGAAGTAGCGTCTTCTAAGAAATAAAGATTATCGTAAGAGAGAACTCATTGCTGGTGACACCACGGAAATGGCCCTGAAGAAACGATGGCTTTATAGTCAAGCTGTGAGAAAGGCAATTACTCTGCGGGTCGTCTGCAAGGATGACTCCAGAGACATAACGTCAGCGGATTCGGACTTCATCACTTCTGTGATTGATGACCGAATTATCGACAGCTCCATAACCACATGTAGGGTCCACAAGACTGTCCTGCAGCCGAATGGACTCAACATTGCGTGTGAGTACCAGTAGACTGTGGACGTCCTACCTAATCATTGATCTACCTGGCCTTGAAGAAAACCATCCCGGTTATCATGCTATGGTT